GCCACCAACAATTATAACAAAGAAAATTAACATGGGAAGATAAAGACAAACGAGGTGGCTTTTTCTCCATCAAATAGGGGAATATCCATACGGGCTGGTACCACCCAGGGCTACAAGAGGAGCTAATGATTGCTGCTACCACTCATATCTCTATTCTCAAGATCGGCAGTATACCCCTCGCAGCAAGTAAAATAGGGAAGTTTTGGTTTACCTGAGTGCTTGCGTCTATTGGATGCAGCATTTGCCTCATAATTTCTGCAAGGTTATAGAACCCTTGCTCTAATCTCAAGTGGTTCTCTGTTGCATCTCATATAGCTATTACGAAGCATCTTGCAGCATACCATAAACTTCAAACATCAAAAGCCCACTGATTCATCCAATTGCTGAACCCGCTGCTGATTCACTACCCCTGCTTTTTCAAATTTCTCTATATTGCTGCAATAAGCTAGGGTTTTGTCCAACTCATGGGGCTTCAAAGTTATCAGGATACATGAAATGTGATTGATGATGAATTAGTGAAAAAGTAGAATTAGGGAAACAGAGGAGATAAGAAGAAAAAGAGTGGAATTAGAGAAACATAGGAGTTGGGATGCTTTGATCACGTGAGATGCTGTCGATTTTGTTTCTATTATTATGTGTTATTGTATTCTTGTTCTCTTATCTTTTCCATTTTTCTTAAGCTGGATAACTTATCCGCTGCACTTTTTGTATTACTCCTCTTATCAATAATACTTCTTATTCTATCCCCCCCAAGAAAAAGGAAGAAAAAAAGAATTTCCAGAGAGAAATGGATTTATCTGATATCGGTTATAATCAGCATAAGACTCCAAACTGATTGACAAACAATTATAGCCCTACCTAAAAAATGCAACAACAACTAAATTCATTCCTGGAATACATGGAAATTAAAAGAAGCAATAAAAATAGCATCACAGACAACCATCTGAGTATATTCTCAATGGTAACAACTGGAATGGTAAAGTGAACAAGGAAAACAATAAAAAAACGAGTAAAAACTGCACATAAACAAGGTAAATGATATTGTACGCTCCTTGCTGAAACCGCACCGGATTAGCCTCTTAATAATTCAGCTTCTGGCAAAAACATTTCAATTTGCACATATTTGATGCAAGGATGGGGCAGAAGAAGGAACAAGGGACAACTAAGCCTCTAGGACAGGATAAAGGGAATATCATTTTTAGTTTCTGCTTCTTTGATATAAGGATGCAGGAGGGGGAAATAAGGCTCTTGCATAGCATATTCAATTTGCACAGCTTTGACGTGAGGTTGGAAGAGCAAAAAAGAACAAGGAATTTCTAGAATTGTTTAAAAGAATAAGCTAGGAGGTGATTGTAATGGCTTTTGTCAATTCAATAAACCCTGCCTAGGTACTATATAATGCTCCTCTTTATTTCAGATTGCAGTGCTTATTGAAGACAAGGAACTAGTTGATTCATACATGGGAGGGAAGCCATGGAAGGCTGGAAAATTTTCATTGAGTCTCCGCCTTTCCCTGTGGTCTGAACACCTTGGTCTTCGTGCCGGAGAGGTTTGTATGGCTGCTTATGGTTCTCTGCTACATGTCTATGCAAATCACTCTTTTGTCAATCGGTAAATGAATCTTTTGGCAATGTGCTGATCAAGTATTCTTTTAAATCTTTTTGTCTCAGGTCAAGCGAGTTACTGATCCTATAATTGATTCGACATACAAAGATATATGGGTTGCAACTGCAAAGGTAAGAACAACTAGATTAAATTTTCTTTCAGCTCAAAATCAATTCAATTGAAAACCCACGTTCTTCAAAACTTTGAGCAACTAAGAAAATGAGGATTTTATGCAGTAGTGCAAACTAGATGGAAAGTCCCACCTCCTTTGCTTTTTTATTTCTGCATCTGGGATTAAGGATGAAAGTTTTTCTGGATACATGTTTAATTAATGGTATTTACTATTTGGCAGACAAATACCACAATCTACCAGGATGTCTTTTCTTGCGTGCCTAATGACCTGATACATTCCAGGTAATAGCACATTTCGTGCCTTCCTCCATCCTTCTTTGCACAGGAAAAAATAACACTTATTTACCTCTGCTATCACATGACAGAGTTGCATTTAGACAAAGCTTAAGCTTCTGGAAAGAAAGACTTGGCCACACAACTATTGATTTAGGAATAGCCCCTGAGAAGCTAGAATCTTATCAAAATGGAGATCTCAAGAAAACCAATCCCCTGGACAGATTGCGATCAGTTTGCGGACATCTTGTTTCTTTCCCCTTGGATTTTATGTGCAAAGAAGATTTAAGACCTGTGTTTAATGAGAGCGAGTATTATGCCTCTCCTCAAGTTTTTCATTGATTTTACCAAATTATTGAGCAGCAGAGCCTTAAATTCACGGAAACAATTTTTTTGTGAACAAACTGTATACTAACTACGATCGGAGGAAGCAAGAGATCTATATTTTTTCCCTTCATTTATTTCTTGTTCATACTAGTATTTACATAGATATCAGATGAGAGAGAGAGAGAGAGAGAGAGAGAGAGGCCTCTATTTATTCAAGCCTCTTTAAGGATGTAATTGTTGTATAAATATAAAATTCATTTACTTATGTTTTATTTTTTTTTACTTCATTTGGTAGATATGTCTTGGTTGTATCTATAAAGTGGGAACTGGTTAATGACAGACGGTTGGTTACAGGTTATACCACATCACACGACATACTGACTGACTTGTCGAGAATAGTTTTTACTCATCATTTTCTTTGCCTGGCTTCAACCATCATCTCTGCTTTTTCAATTTGTTAACACTTGATATTCGCTTTACAATGTTGTAGTGAGACATGGCTTGTACTCGGAATGGTAAAGGACTTCATTTCAAGTATTAGTCTATGTTTTTAGCAGCAGCAGGAAAGAAGTCTTTCTACTTACATTCAAGTATTAGTGCAGTAACGACTTCACTCTAAAGAATAAGAATTATAGTTGAAAGTAGATTATTATCCAGAGTGACGACCTCTAGAATGATGTTAAAAAACTATTGAATTTTTTTTTCTTTAGAAACTTAAAGTAGAGGTTAGAAGGGATTATTAATAAAGCTTACGAATAGTAGTTTTTAGGTTTATTTCTTCGTTATTATTATTTATATATATATATATATATAATTCCAACATTGAGACTATAATTTATAAACCGAGAACATGTGGTTCAAATTACATGAGACACTTTTCATAAAACTCGATGAATTTGTGAATCTTATCTCTAAAAAAGGCATTATAAAGCAAATATTCTGTGTCTCTCATAGTCGTAGTGCAGAGGACACTGTTTGGATGAAATCAGAAACCCACTACAGAATTATGAAAAAGAAGGATCCGGTACCATTTACAAGAACCCTAGCCCACCAACCATTTAGATCTAAGCACAGAAGAATATTGCCCAAGTGTACGAACTATGGTGTTTGAAAGATACTAGTAACCCAAAATAATTCGTGTTTTCCAACAAACACATAACGATATTCACTTTCCTCTATACTATTACACCTCATCCCATATCTATAGCCCTTGTCCTCATAGTACAATATTGCTTAAACAAGAATCTAGTGATCCTCTTCTGGTCCCATATATCTACATATTTAATTCAATATATATATATATATATATATATATATATATATATATATATAAAACATGCATGCCCTCATGAATACCAACTTCAACATCATGCTTCTACTTTTGTTTTTCTTTTTAAAGTGAGAAAACAAAAAAAAAAAAAAAAAACTGTTGACATTATAATTTTCATCTCCCTATAATTATAGAAATTGTTTTTTAGAACCCTCGAGAAACAAGCTTTTTATACCAACCCCAGAAAACATTAAGATTTTGTTTGTCTATATTTTTCTTTTTTTTTTCATTAAGAAATTTAAAAAAAAAATCAAATTAAATGTGGAATTATATACATACATATATATATATATCTTTTGTAGGTCGCAATCATCTGGGTAGTTTGACCTTTCAGAATCCATGGTCCCCAAAATCGACTGGCTAACAGGTTTCCATGTGTTTGGTGTTTTTGATTGGAGCACAATAAGATATATTATCTTCCTTGTTTAATTAATCTTTGCAATTGCATTAATTAACTTATAATTAATTACCGTAATTAACAATTTCAGTGCATGACTAATTAACAATTAATCTTTGTTTAATCATCCTTTTTTCAATTGAATAAACTTTCACCATCGCCAACAATTATTTATTTATTGCACATTCCTCGTTAACCACTCTCCAGTGTTCATTCCTAGCCACAAAATTATCTTATTCAATCATTTTCTCTTCTTACAAAATTACATGTTGTAGACCGACTCTACACACAGTTGATATATTTAATTATGATCATACCTCGTCATATTAATTACATATATCTCCAATGGTATTACATCAGAAAATTACCAAACTGCCCTCGTTTTCGTGTTATTGGTTGACAAAAAGGAAGGGTAAAATAGTAATTTCATCGTGCTTACAGTTGCCGCAAGGCTACATACATTATGTACATGGAGAAAAGCCTTAAAAAAGTTGATGAAGAGAAGGAGAAGAAGAAAGAATGGAGTCTAAGCCAAACACTGTCTTCTCCATTGGGAGAAATAGTTCTGAGTTTCCAGGCAAATAACTGAAATACCCTTTTGAATAAACTAGCCAACTGAAAAGGTATGCTTTGCATGCATACATACATACATACATATTTATATACATGTAAATATACATATATATATATATATTGATTCTGAAGGTGATTTTTAAGGGCGTGTTTGTGGCAGGAGATTAAAATGGTGCTTTTTCCATCTCTTCTTGATGGATTGGCAAGAAGCGTATCAACCAAGAAAAGGAGGAACTCTATTGGGGATGATGTGGGAAGAGGTGCTGCAGAAACAATGGCCAAAGATGCCAAAAGGAATGAGTTATTATTGACTTCTTCAGGCATTCTCAAGTCCAACAAGTCTAATAATTTTGCCTCTGTTTCTTCCAAGAAAGGCCAGAAAGGAACCAACCAGGATTCTACCATTGTATGGGAGGTATATATATCCACACACACACACACACAGCTAATATATAACCATAGTACTAAATTTTTTCCTATATATGTATTTTTCATGTAGAGTCTTTTTTTGATAGCAAATTTGGATTCTCTCATGTGGAGTATGTTAACTAAATCAAATCATGTAAATTCTCTATCTTTATATTTCTCAACTTTTGTTTGCCTGGTAAAGTTATCATATTATGGAACGGGTATGTATGAAGTGTTGAATTCTATCCACATGATCATATATGATAATTTAGAAAATTTTGTAAGTTGTGTATGTAAAATTTTAGTTTTTTTTCTTCTTTATTTTTATAGTCGAATTCCTATACTTTTTTATGAGATTTTTGTGTATTAAAATTCGGGTCTGAGAAATAATTGACTGAACTGCGTAAATTTTTTGTTTGTTTACTTTTTATTTTACTTGATTCGTCTATTTAATATATGAAACAATACAACAATTACATATCAAAATTTGGATTCGACAATTCTAGGAATTCGGAGGTCAAGAAGATATGATATTTTGTGGGATCTTTGATGGGCATGGTCCTTGGGGTCATATTATAGCCAAGAAGGTTAGGAACTCAGTGCCTCCATCTTTGCTATGCAATTGGCAAGAAACTGTTGCTTCCTCATCAACCAGCTTGGATTTGGAGTACAACAACCCTTCTGATCAATATGACATATGGAAGCAATCTTACTTGAAAACTTATGCTGCCGTAGATGAAGAGCTTAAGCACCATCCCACCATTGATTCTTTTTGTAGCGGCACAACAGCTTTAACAGTTGTTAAACAGGTATCTACGTATTGTTAGTCGATAAATAATAGGTTGAACTCTTTTACACAAGTTTAAACTTTTGATTATTAGTTCAAAATTTATCATTTAACATGATACCGAGCTAGTTTTAGCACAGTTAGCAATCTAGCTAGTAGTCATGCTGGTAATGAGGGATATTTATCAGTGCTTTTGTTATCATCCTTTAAATATATTATTTAACAATATATATGCGTATCTGTATATGTTTATGTGTGTGATGATGAACTCAGGGTGAAAACCTTATGGTTGCAAATGCTGGGGATTCCCGGGCTGTATTGGCAGTGAGTGCTGATGATGGTAAAAGTTTGGTGGCCCTTCAGCTGACTGTTGATTTCAAGCCTAGTTTACCTGGTTAGCGACCTCTTATTCTTCCTGCAGCAATATGTATATATGATATGCATGTGTTTATATGTATATATAATATGTGGGTCTTGGTTGCAGAAGAGGCAGAGAGAATCAAAGAGTCAAAAGGTCAAGTGTTGTGTTTAGAAGATGAACCAGGAGTTTACAGAGTATGGAGACCAAATGGTAAAAGCCCAGGACTGGCTCTGTCAAGAGCTTTAGGTGATTACTGTGTCAAAGAATTTGGACTCATCTCTGTCCCTCATGTTACTGACACTCAGATCACCAACAGACACCAATTTCTGATCCTGGCTACTGATGGAGTATGTTCATATCTGCATATATATTTATATATATATATAGACATATATTGAAAATTCATAGATTTTAATAAGTGGATAGCATTTATGTACCAATTACAACACATTAGCTTGGTAAAAAACAGTCTTGACTTGAATACACATCCTCATACAGAGGAGTGAAAATACCAATTATTCTTAGGTGTTTATTTACGGTTGATTGAATTGAATGTTTTTCATTAGGTGTGGGATGTGATTTCAAACCAAGAAGCAGTAGAGATAGTTTCTGCAACGAGAGAGAGGGAAAAATCGGCAAAGAAACTGGTGGAAAGTGCAGCTCAGGCATGGAAATATAACAAGAGAGGGATTGCAATGGATGATATGTCTGCTATCTGCCTCTTCTTTCATCCTCCACCTTCCCATCACCCTCTCCACTTTTCAAAACCCAACCCAGCTTAATCATCATATATACATATATATATATATATATATATATATATACACATATTATATACTATCAGTAGATTTCTAGTACTACTACCGCTTCACCAGCTACTTGTTTGTGTTCGTGCATGTATAAGTAAACGTGATATGGAGGTTTCCATTATGCTTATTAGAGGTTTTGAGAGAAAATTATGTGATGGAATTGATTTTGGGGTAAAAATGTAAAAAAGAATAAGTTGGAGGCCAATTTCATGGTCGTTATAAAAAATATTCAAATATATTGGTATATATAAGCACTAATATAATTCTTAAAATTCTAAATATATATACCATAATTAAGTATAAGATATAAATTATCAAAAAAAAACTTAAAATATATATATTTAAATTTAATACATTAATTATTTAAAAAAATTCAAAAAATACATATTTAAATATAATACATGAACCACCGGATAGAACTCAAAAAATATATATTAATCATTTTAACTCCTTACTAAAACAAAAAATCTCTTAATTTACAAATTATTATTTTCAACATGGAGTGGTGTAGCAAGTCATAAAATGCAGCAAGAGTTAGCATTATCATCACTCAACAAATGAAGCATGGAATTGCCAACCGGGGATTCTGTCTGCTCATAGAAACTATAAGGGTGTGGCAATGGCGGCTCCGTCATTTGCAGGCCTCTTCCGAAGCACACGCAAGGAAAATGCAGAGGATTCGGCCACCATTTTCTAGGTTCAACACATCTAAACCCAAACTGTACTGAAGGCTGCCAAGAAAATGCCGGATCGTGCGGCCATTGTTGCAGACCATGATCATCATCATCGTCGGAGGAAGAACATGTTTGACCATTTTCATGAGTGTAAATCTCTGCTTTTCTGCCAATACTTGGCTATGGTGTTTATTAGTACAATAGGGTCTAATGTTGTTCCCCAGACAGAAACCAGTCCTTCTTCCAGACTTATTTTTATCTTCTTCACTCCTAGATCAAAATATTAATTGAAAGATATTAAGAAAGGAAACATATTGAAGATTGAAGATTGAAGATTATGTTATACCATCTATTTTCTGTAGCTTCTTGTTAACTTTCATCGGACATGATGCACAACATTGCAGATTCACTTTCAAAACACAAACCCTCAGAGTTATATGCATATACCCACATCAGAGTTAAAGAGATGAAAGTAGGAAAAGAAGAAGCATGAATGAACAATACATGTATGCACACTTATATATTTATATATGTATGTAGGGACATACTGATATATCTTGGCTATCTGCCATTTCAGCTGTAGAAGTTGAAAGTGCTGTCTCAAGAGTCTGAAATAAGTATAAAATGTATATATAGAAATCCTGAGGGTGGATTGAAGGGGAAGTAATATTTAAAAGGTTAAGACTTCATCTCCTCCTTTGGTTGGAAATTGGAAATGGAAGTTCATATGAAGATCTGAAATTTCCTTGTATAAGATGGGATAAGATATTACTGTGGAGATAATCAATAATCAAATAGGGTATTGAACCTATATATATATATATTTATAATTAATTCATTCCAAACTAAAATTTTGACATAAGTTAGCCTGTTAATTATGATGAGATCTGGTTACAAGAAGAAAGTAATGTGTCATTGTAAATACATATAAAATGTATCAAGAGAAGTGTCAGTTTATCAAAATTGATGATACACAGACATGAAGTTACAATTTATTGGGCATTAACAATACACTTTTGGAATCATACTGCAGATGAATTATCATGTATAATGAATATACATTAATATTCAATCACATTTTCATTAATAACAAGATACTAATAAAATTCCATCCATTGAAGCATATACTTTTATCTCCACAAAATTCCATATGCCCTGAATTTCATTCTCATCCTAATACAATTTTATATATTCTCACTTAGTTTACATTCTAATATATAAGTTTTACAAAATAAATACCAAGCGAAAAATAGTTTCTATATCTATGTCAAATAAAACCAAAGGAAAAAAAAGGATGTAAATTTTACCTTAGTTGTGAGCATGAATGGCCCTCTGTTTCTTTCCCAAGAAAGGGTGGGGTTAATTCATTCCAAAATAGTCCTTCATGTAGGTGCCTTATAAGTCATAGGGTATATTTTAAAAAACTACACTAATCATCACATATAGATAAAGTAAAAACAGGTAATGCTAAAAGAAGCTTGAAAGAAAGAACCAGAAATCCAAAACCTCCAAGGCACCAGGTACACAGCTTTCAATAGACTATTAAAATGCTAGACAATTCGGTCAATATACTACTATCAAATTATAAGTGCACAAATTGGGATGTTCATTACACTACAACTGAAATTTTGCTATCTTTCACCCACCCCGAGCTTCTCTTCGCGTAGCATCATGAAGCAGTTCCACATCAACCCCCATCAGGAGGTAACTGAACATATCTCACCACAGATCCTCTGATGAAACAGTTCCTCACTGAAAGCTGCCATTACCACAAATTATTGTTAGAAAGAATTTATCTAAGATGCAGTAGATACTGGACCAGGAAAAGGTCAAGGACACAAATATAGAGACTTTTTTATTTACAACAGTGCGTAACCATAGACAAGAAAGCAAACACAACACAAACTTGCCAAGGTGCACATCAAACCCATATCTTCACGTGAATACAATCTTACAGAATGGTGAAGAACAGAACTTGATGTGGAGTTTCAACTGGCACATTTCCAGTCAAAAACAAGCCAAAAGGTATTAGCAACAACCGGTGAATCACCACATCTACCAGAACTAGAGAAAAGTTAAAAGCAAAAATATAAGGCACCGGACAAGTTGATATCTTTAAGCCTCTGATAAATGCTGCCAGAAACTGACATTACTACTGCCATCTAGAGTTCAACTTTTATATAAAAAAATTTCCAGTCTAGAATTCTGAACAAACTTTAGCTGCCGTAATATACCCAAGACCTATAGACATATAAATATCATCATAATCCATACAACTCCATCTAAATACCGGCTAACAAAACTATGAACAAACAAAGCCCAAAATATCAACTATCTAACCATCACGGAATGGGTGTTATAAATCTGAACTGATGATAAAAAGCCAAAGAGACTTGTCCATGATACTAGGAAATGCCCATTTAACAGTAATCTTCTCCAAAAAAAAAATTGAATCCCATTAGCAGGACAAATCCAACATAACAATGCATAGTTTCAAAAACAAAGAAATGTAACTGTCTATAGTTATCAACCCTGCATACTGAATACCCACTAGACTGTATAAGATTATTTTATGTACTTGCCAAAAAGTTCCCAGAATAACAGGAATCACTATCTACATGCGTTATTTCTCACTATTCCAATCCGAGTGACAATGCAAGAAGTTGAAAGTTTTTTTTATAAAAGAGAGACTATTAGAAGTCATAGAAAGAAGAGATACAGGACAGGGAAGTTGAAAGATAAATCACACTATTAGCAATGAGTTATAGCGGCCACAAAATAAGACTAGATTAAAATTTCAATATAAATGACATGCTGCAAATGGGAGGTGCAGGCACAGAGTTGAGGAAAAAATTAAGTGATGAAGAAAATTATGACACTTTAGATTAGGACTTCAGGAGAAAAAAAAATTCCGAAATAACATGAGGTTTGAAGGTTTGGATAAAAGATTCCCATTGTTGTCTATTAATCCATGACATCTTAATGCTGAAAGGAAGAAGATAAACTCATCAACCATTAAAAAAAAGAACTCTATAATTCAACTACCCAAGAGACCAATTTAATCTGACTCAAGATTATGATGGTTTAGAAGTGAGATAAATAATTCAACTAAAATAATCACATTCTCTTTTCAAGCATTTCTAACAGAAGACAGCCTTTGGATGACTCAAAAGAAAATGTCAACGTGAAACAAAAACAAAATCAAAAGATAATGTTTGAAGAAAGCGATGTGACAGTTAAACAATGTAACAATCCCAAACAACAGATTCCTGATTCCTGCACCATATCCATTCTCTATCAACAGCAATGGGGTAGTCTTTGGTTCAATTCTAATTCCAACCTCTAATCTCCATATTGTTCTTTAAATGTAAATTAGAACATAACTTGTAAGTTTAATCCCACCCTTTACCCCACCTTGAATCTCTGCGATGAAAATTGTTTTATTATGAATTAAAGCAAAAAATGAATTTTCATGCCCAAGGAATTCAAGGTGCTGATTAAGGGGGGGAATCATTCCAAAAGATTCTAAATAGCCAAATACAACAATCTATGTTCTTTTTGAAACCCTAGTACCAATCATTTCCCCTTATCAACTATTCATCTCCATACAAGGTTAAACATTATCACAGCTGAGGAAGTGAAATATCAATTGGCAAAACATACAGTTTATGTGCGTCAGTATTAAGAGAAAGACAAACATGAGGATACATGCAGATAAATTTCTGTTACCTCAG